TTCACGAAGTTGTGTAGTTAGCAATCGTCCTTTGCTTGTTATTAGATGTGTTAAGTTGGAAAACGCTGTTATGTGTTTTAAATATGTTGAATTGAATATATATATATATATATATATATATATTATATATATATATATATATATATATATATTATATATATATATATATATATATTATATATATATATATATATTATATATATATCTAATTTATTTATTAGCACTCAGCGGCGCACGACGATCGAAAGCATGGCTGTGAAAGACAAGAATGACTAAGCATAGATACTACCCCAAGGTTACGTACTACTTGGGGTAGTAACTATGGACTAAGCAAACCCGCGTGACTGACTGCACTCGTCAACAAACATACCTGTTTGTTGCTAATTGTTGCGAGAGTTTATCGTGGCATTGTGGAAAGCCAATCCCCTGTTTAGGCCGGGAGTTTAGGGGGGGTTTTGGCTCATTTCGTTTCTTTTCCTTTTCGTAATCTCTGAGTTCTCTCGAGCTCAATTTACTATAAAAGTTCGATGGCGACACCTGTGGAACGGTCTGTGGAACGCTGTCGGTGGGGGTGGGGGTGGGGGCTCGTCTTCATCCTGATAGCTACGCAATCGCTGTCGCTTTGTGGCGCGCAAGTAGGCGGGCTCAGCTCCACGCCTAGCCAGGCATGCATGTGGTGTTGAATCACGGTTTGCCTGCACGATGACTTGCCTGGAGAAATCGATATAAGCAGTGGCTGGCGTGCAGGTGCGATGATTCACTGGCATCGTGTAACCACGGAAGCCTTGCATGAGCCTATAGGACGGAGATTCCTACTATGATGACTATTATGATACTAGCATGACTAGCATGCGACTAGACTGATGACTAGCATGACTAGCATTCGACTATGATACTAGCATCCTACTATGATGCTATTATACTATGTACTACTAGACCGATAGTGCCGAACTGCTCGTTGTACAAAGGATTGACGGGAGTGGAAGCTACCGGATTTATAACATTTTAAATTTAACTGAACACCGTAGTGCATTTCCATGCATTCTGTTGATTTTTGTATTAAAAAAAAGTAAATGTAAAATGTAAAAATGTAAAAAAACTCTTTCAACTCGGGTCTGCCGAGATTATGTACTTCGTTCGGAGTAGGCATGCAATCACTCGAGTGCAAACTGGAACTTATACCTGTTCGACTCTCAAGTGGTAGTAATGGCGGTGCCGTTATCAGGGGAAAATAGGACCGTATTTTTTACGAGAAACATATTCGATAAAGATAATCGATCAGAGCTACGTCAAAGTTTAGTTAAAAAAAGAAAGAAAAATGATAATCTACAAAAGCAACGTTTAATCTAGTAGGCCATGGCAGTATATCATTCACATCTTTAGGAAAATATCTGTTAGCAAGATTTGGTAACTTTGCGTGAGAAGATCCTCTATAAATTGTGTCTCGTTTCGTCTCTCGTTTCGTAGAAGCTATGACATTGATGACCACGGGTCATTTTATGAAGAGGAAGACCGTTCACATCGGATGCCTTGGCAGCCGTGCTTACAACGCTCATGCGAGGACTGGGTAATTTTTCTATTCCAGAAAGGATAAAACTTGGAGCCCGTTTTCAGAAACATACTAAATACTTGCGGCATAATAATTCAAACATGTCATAACTTTTAAAAACAAATGTTGACCAACAGTAATGACAATTTTATCCTTGATAGTCATGAATATTCATGATGTTTCTGACAACGTGCCCCAGAATTCGTTGTGCTGTAACTAATTAAGTGACACGTTATTTTCCAGCGAATTGATGTTCACATCTTATTGAATAGTATTGTGTTGAAATGAGTTGAGTATGAATCGTATTTGAAATAGAATTGAGTTTAAAAACAACGTTCCACGTTTCCAATCACGTCGCGTCATTGGCCACATGAACCTGGGCCATATCCAAGAATTCAATTAAGCAAATAAACCCAAAATTTGTAGTATGTAAGTATTACGCAATGTTGACCATGACAATTTGAGTATATCAACTATTAGTTTATTATTTGACATAGCGCAGTTGCCTGTAACACCATCTTCCTCGGCATTTTGCCACGTTTGAGAGATCTTGAGATAGTATGAAACATGTTGACAGTAAAGGCCGTGACTACACGATGCGTAAACGGGCGTAGTTTTTGAACCCTAACATGTACACGGTGAAGTTTGTTAGAGACTGTATTTTACCATGATTCTCTAGTTATAGTTAGTATGTTTGCATTAGAGTCCAGCAAAAACAGCCAGCATGGCCGACCATTATTATTTATCACAAATAATTTTCGACTGCGTTTAATGCCTACAATGTTCATACAAATTATGAAATCGAAAATCTAACCTCGCCATCGCAGCTTAACGTGACACTATTTAATATGCTTCAATTTAGTCAAACTAGCCAGGTTAAGTTAAAGGGTAAGTAAACAAGCCAGCAGGCTATTAATCCCAAAGTATAACTAGAAAGGGCAGTTGTCGCCAACTACATGCATCCCCCGTGATCTAGTATGAATGAAATATCTCTGTAAGGACGTATGAAATATGATCAAGGTTAAGGTCAAGGTCAAATAAAAGCCGCAGTGACATGGTTTAGGTACGCGACACACCTTCTCCCCAAGATGTGTAAGTATACCAAGTTTGGTAGCGCTAGGTCAATTAGGGGCCGAGTTATAGAGTGGAAGGGAAATATGATCAAGGTCAAGGTAAAAGTCAAATAAAGGTCGCAATGACCTGGTTTTGGTACGCTGCGCACCTTCTCCCCAAGATGTGTAAGTAAACCATGTTTGGTCACGCTAGGTCAATTAGGGGTCGAGTTATAGAGCGGAAGGGAAAGTGTCTGCGGAGGAGGCGGCGGCGGCAACTGGACAGACGTAAAACCATAGTATCCCCGCCGACTTCGTCGCGGGGGATACAATTAAAGCCACGTCTAGGGTAGTCTGAATCCAATGTTTTACGTACCTGCATAGGTAGGAGAAAAGGGCAAATTTAAGTGTAATGGAAATTCGCTAAATAGTGCTCCAATGAATGATCTTAATTAATCCTGGTTCTTAAGCAAATGTTTTTTTACTTGATTCATACATACGATTATCAGATTCTCATTGCGGTGTGGGTGTAGCTATAGTGCATACAGTAACCTCGCTTTCGTTGCAGGACTTCAACAACAACACCAACAACAACAATGGTGGTGACAACAACAACAACACCAACAACAACAATGGTAGTGACAACAATAACAACACCTACAACAACAACCCTCTCTTTGCCTTATCTGAGGCGCAGTTACAATACATGGAAGATGTGCTATCTAGTGAGGAAGGAAGACAGCTGCTAGAGGACAGTGCCAGCCTACCCGAAGTCCCAGACGCACTGATACCAAGTACTGCTGATAAGACTGCTTGCTACAGTGTTATGCCACAGTGGTGTTACTGCTCAGACGACGATCTCGACATGGTAACAGAAGTTATTGCTGAACAGCAAAACTGCGCTGATATGTGTTTGAATCATTCGAAGTGCGCGACACACAACAATGGGGAGGAAGTATTAAAGAAAGTGGCAATCGAGCAGGAGCACGTGATCGCTACTAATATGGTCCTGGGTGTGATGGCGGACCACGGTAATTACTGCTTACGTGGAAGACGCCACGATAAACAACGCGCATCCTCAATAAAGTACGCAGACATGGCACCAGATAGAGCAGGAGCTTATGGTCGCAGATGCCCGTATGATGTGTATTCGAATTACGGCTGCCAGTCTAAGACTGGTATGGTGTCACAGCGCACGTTTCTGAACAAGCGGGGAACAGCGTGTGCTGGCGTCGGCGCTACGGAAAGAAAACGCCAATCCAAGAAACAAAAGCGACAGATAACGTCAAAATGTTTTGAAAAAGAAGTTAAGACGGTTGGTAAATTTTGCCGGAGGCGCAAATGGTCCAAATGCAAGCCACGGTGGCACGACCACAAATACAGATCAGACTGTAAAGCAAAAAGGACGAACAACGTGCTCTTTTCTAAAACGTATAATACGCCGCACGATTTACTAACACAAGGTACAGAATCAGCGACCTGCACATCGTTGCCTCTTCGCTTCGGAAAATCGCACGATGCTAAGACAGCAGTCGATATCTTTCGTGATAAAAAGCCTACAACAAACATAGATTACTCGCCTAAAAAAATGGTTACAAGGGGCAAGCGTGTGCCAGTCGATTTGCTTCTGAAGGGCAAAGGCTTTGATAGATTTGGCTTTCAGGACACCGTTTCCGATGTCTTTAGACAGATGAGTCAGCGTAGAGATAAAACTCCGATGTGTGAAATCGAACAGGAGGCTCCTAACACCCAAGTTTACAAGTCGAAGGATAGCGAAGTGAGCCACGTCGAGGTGCACAATTTGGCGAAGAACTGTAGGGGAGATGGAGAGTGTTTTTCCTCAACTGTCATGTATTATGAAGGTGAAAACGTGCGCGCAACCGGTCCCCGCCTCGTTACAAGCAAAGGAGAGCGTTCTCGGCCCTATGCCAGACACAGTTCCCGCATTCAAGCGATGAAGCGGAAGACTATTTGTACGTGTTGTGTGTAATCGTTAGTCGCGAGTGTCCTATGCTGGTGTATCATGATTGTATATCGTGCTACAGCAAGCTGTGAAACCGGCGTGGTTGCATGTGGTGTACCATGTGTTATAACCTTACTTTCAACCGTGTAATAGGGAATGCGTAACCGTTCATCACGTTTCACGAAGTTGTGTAGTTAGCAATCGTCCTTTGCTTGTTATTAGATGTGTTAAGTTGGAAAACGCTGTTATGTGTTTTAAATATGTTGAATTGAGTATATATATATATATATATATATATATACGTGCGTGCGTGCGTGCGTGCGTG